AATCTTCATTCTTACTATATTACACCTATTGCTGTATTGGATCCCAAAGAGGAGTGTGCTTTTACTCTCTAATTACTTTTCCTTCTTCAAGTAATTCCTAAGTCAAGAAAATATTTCCTGTCTCCCAAACAGAACACCTTATTCAGGTTCCTTATTCAGGAACTGAATATCCTTGAAAGAGTCAATACCTGTAAATGAGCTAGCATTATTATTGTCATATTACACCTATTGCTGTATTGGATCCCAAAGAGGAGTGTGCTTTTACTCTCTAATTACTTTTCCTTCTTCAAGTAATTCCTAAGTCAAGAAAATATTTCCTGTCTCCCAAACAGAACACCTTATTCAGGTTCCTTATTCAGGAACTGAATATCCTTGAAAGAGTCAATACCTGTAAATGAGCTAGCATTATTATTGTCATCGTTGTTGTTGTTGTTATTATTGTTATTATTGTTGTTATTGTCATTATTGTTGTTATTATTTTTATTATTATTATCAACCTTGCTCTCTCAGGCAAGGATTGTTTGGTTTGATCTTATTTACAGCATCGAACATGTTCTTGGTACTTTAAAAAATGGTGTTGTGTCATCTAATGAAACATGAAAGTTGCTAACTAGAAATGCTTTTTTTTTACCATCAGCTTATTCTCCACCAATGGAAAATCATATACTCTCTTCTGGAAACAATGGCACTTTAGAGTACAAGGCATCCCTGGCCCCTATCTCACCGGGAAGATACTCACCTATTCCAAAGCACATGCTTGTGGAGGATGACTACACCAGGTCAGATGCTTCTCTTTGTTTCTTACCTTTCATGACAATTGCAAAGGACATAGGTAAAGCATTCCATGTATGTCAAATAGAAGACAGCATGCAGTTCTTTTCTCCCAGGTTCACAGTAAGATGAATTGAAACTGTTACAGATATGAAAACCACAAAGAGAAAGAAGAGAGCAATGAATTCTGACTTGAGGTCCATGTTGTCTGGGTGTGATCCTGCATGAGTTTCTAAACAGTATGTCAGCACTAGAACAGTGCTGGCACTGAGCAAAATGTTCTACTTCTAACACAACTAAGGGGATCTCAGGATCAGTGACTCATCTGGCTCACTGTACATATGGGTGGAGGGACTGTATGGGCATCTGTGCTGGTCTGTGACGGTACCCTCTGAAGGGTCCAGCTTGCTTAGTTTAGTGAAAGGGAGGCTGAAATAGCCTGTAATTTATCTGTGTACACACATCAAAAGATTAATGTTATGGAGAGAAAACACTGTAGGAAAAGAAAGAAATATAATTTGGCTGCAGTTAAATATAGGAGGGAAACTGGGAAAAGTTCCTTAATCATTAGAAGAATCCTAATATGAAACAGTTTTCTGTGGGAGCATATAGGTTAAAAGGAAACATCAAAGATGAACCTGGAAACTTCTACCAATCTTTTTTTTGAAAAAAATAATCCCCAAAGGATTGTGACTACTACTTGGAAGTACAATAGCAGAATTGTATCTGTGTAGTTGACTTCCAAGTAGAAGAGACACATAGGAAAAATCTGGGAGGGTTCTTTTATGCCTTGATGAGCACTGAATGTCACTGAAGAGACAATGTGTATTTATCTTTCCATTTGAAAAGCACTGCCATTCACCTAGAAGACAGCAGTTGTTCAGTTTGTAAAATGAGCCCTCATTATAATGTCTAATGCCACAGAAAATGAGAAATTATTTCTTCGCTGTGCTAGAAGGGGCCTGTTCTGATCCACTAACCTGGCCTGCTGTGTTTCACAAGCCAGAGAATCTCATCCACTTATGTATTCACCAGCTTCATAACTTCTAATTTGCATTTCATTTTTCTTGTTGCATATGATTACAATCTCAAACCACTTAACTTGTTGGATCAGACAGATTCAGTGTAACTAAATCATGATGCAGTGTTTAATCAGGACATAAATGTGTGGAAACCACACCTTGCTTCCCTGTCTTGGCTAAAAGAATCTTTTATTTGTTTTGATTGAGGATGCAAAGCTGAAATTGCTTTCCTTCAACTTATGAGACATTCAATTATGATTAATTTTCTCCAAAGGGTTCCAAGAAGTTACATTTTTAATTAATAGTTAAACATTTATTTCATTAAATTATGCATCAAGGTTTTGCCTGATCTAATAATGGCCTCATAATTTCTTAAATACCAAAGTATAGGAAGAGTACCAATATTACAGTATCTGAGTTACAATGATGAAGGCTTTGTCAGTAAGCAGTAATGCTGAATTGTCTTTTGCAATGAGATATCAGCACCATTATTACTGAGAGTTAGAAAAGTTTAAAAACAGTGAAAAAGTGCTACCTTAAAAGTAAATAATAGCTAAGGAGTTACAGAAAGTGAAGGAAGTAGTCCTAAAAAGGGAGATAAGCTGCCCTGATAATTTAAAGACCATTTAAACTGTTAGAAGGTTTGCATGGTAATGAAGAAGTACTCTTAGCTCTGTGTTTCTTTGTGTTCCATGTAACTGATTTTAACTTTCAAATTACTTCTACCAAAGAAAATAAAAATAATAGTCATAGAAGGGAAGGCAGTCCAAACCCAAGAGTTTACCAGATATCCAGTAGAAACTTACCTGCTTGAAGAACCATGCAGGATGTGTATTAAGATTAATTAGTATGTCCTTGTGATCTTTCTTCTTAGGAAGAAAGATGTATTCCTATCCTGATATTTTTAGTAAGCTATTAAACAGATTGATTCTGCTGGTTTAGCTCCTGAAGTAAAATGAAATACTGACACTGTTTCTAGACAGAGGTATTCACACCAATGTCCATTTTGTATTATTTGGGGGGGAAAATGAGTGCCCAGAGAAGCTGTGTATGTTCTGTGAAATGCTCCTCTCCTGTGTTCTTTTTCCTACCTGGATTTCCAGATTAATGTGTTGTCTAATGAAGGTCCCATGGCCAAAGTCTTCGTGTGGCATTGACACTATTGACAGGAGAGGCTGACTCTGCAAGCATGACTCTCTGTGGCAGGTGTGTGGCGCTGGCAGAAATAAAGGTGTCAAGTGATAGGAGCAGGCTCTGAATGCCACAGAGCAAATCAGATGGAAATTTCATAGTTCTGAATAAGTGTTGACTTTGACCTATTGAAAAGGAGGAGGCTATGATGAAGTTCATTTTATTAGTAATAATATTCTATATGCCACACTGATACCCAGGAATCAAAAGGACAAAGAGAAAATTGATGAAGAAGACAAATAGCACTTCTTGCCATTGCATTTTGTCACTGGACATACATCATACAACACTGATAGACACCCAAACAAGAGCCAGAGACCAGGTTTCTTCTCTGACTACAATGAGTAAGAAGTTCTTACCTTCAAGATCAAACCATTTAACCCTGGAATGCTGCTCAGACTTCTTTTTTAATGTCCATGAATCTAATTATTGCTTATTGATCCAAGTGGGACTATGGAAAATGCAACAGTTAATTCCCATGGTGATTTTCACAGCTATAGACAGAGAAACGTGAATTCACTCTTTCAGTGCAGTAGGATTTGCTGATGAGTCTGCCATTAAAATAGGAAGGTATTTGTTGCTGATTGGTTTAGAAAAACTTAAAATATTTTTGGAATTGAATTATCATATTGATAGCTTCAGTAAAACTTATGGATTCCTTGATTGCAGCATTTATAGTTAGGTTTTTTCACATCATGTTTTATAATTAATTTTTTTTGCCAGCTACAGCAGTGCTGTCTGTGAAAACTACCTGACTCTTTCTGTGATAGGTTTACAGGGCTAATTTGTGCGGTGCTCACATAAGGAAACTTATTTCCCGTGCAGTCTTACTATGGCAACACTTCTCAAGATTTTCATTTATGCCAGCTAAAAATATTTGGAACAGTACCTTCTGCACTAAAAAAAGGTTTTTGCAATTTTGGAATTCTTTGTGCAAGTAATTTCAGTGAGGCTGATGACAAGCTTTCTTTTAACTTACTCATGATAATGCATCTGTCAGTAAGGCTTAAATGGTTGAACATTCAAGTCAATTTGCCCACTTTATCTTGCTTTTCTTTTTGGTTTCTGATTTTGGTTTGTTTGGGTTTGGGTTTTTTTCCAGTTCTAAGGTTATTTACCTAAATACTACTATTTTGCCTAACAAAAATAAGTTTTTCTATTGATAAAAATTTGTAATTTTTCTTCTGATACTGAATCTATGTCTGAAAAAAAATCAGTAAAATCTTTACTTAATAAAACTATGGGGAAAAGTATCCTAATATGAGTACAAGGGATAGAAAAGTAAAAAGTCATCTTCAGCCACAAGTTTTAATGCAGCTGGATGTTGTCTTTTAATTACTGAGCTTTGTAAGCCATGTGTATTATTGGTCCAAAATGCTATCAGTGATGGGCATAATTTACTTCTTGATTTTCTGGATTTATTTTAAATTCACTCAGGATGGAAACTTTTTCCTCCTGTATTTTTTATAAAGATTGTCACTTTGGTACATTTTAAATAAATTAACATGACTCCAGGTTAGTAGAATGTGGGATCAAAAGTGGACAAAAACCATATGCCGAGTAATTCTATCAATACAATCATCATCATTCTGCAAGTAAGACCTTGCTTGTGTTAGTTTCTAGCAAGATGAAATTGTTGTGCAGGCAGTGCAGGGTATTCATTATGTTGCTGACAATTTCCTAATGATGCTAGAGGAGAGAAGCAGAATTAATTCTCTGCTTGACCTGCTGCTTACGAGAAGGGAAGAACTAACAGCAAAGGTGGTGATAAATAACAGCTGGGATCAGAGTTGCCATGAGTTGGTTCAGTTCATGATTCAGAGAAAGCCTGGAAAGATAGTCAGCAAGTTATGACTGCTAAGACTTCAGAAGAGGAGACCTCAGCCCTTTGGAGAATTGCTTAACAAAATTTCTTGGGATGCTGCCACAGAAACATAGGGTCCATGAAAGATGGATAATTTCTAAGTCAAACTTATTGAGAACTCAGAAAGGAACCATTCAGTTGAGCAGGAAGGAGAGGAATTCAGCAGAAGACCTTCTTGGCTGAGCAAAGAGCTTTCTGATGACCTGAAATATAAGATATAGACAAGTGTGGCTTGACTGCTGAATGACAAAATCAGAAACCTGATTGATTTGAGCTAAGACTTACAAGGGTCATAAAGGAAAACAAAAAGTGATTCTGCAGGTGTGTTCTACTTTCAAAAATGAAGGTAAAATTTGGGGAAGGCAAAGGGTGATGAATAGAAGGGAAGCTGATGCAATGACTGATAATATAGAAAAAAAGCTGAAGAACTCAGCATCGTCTCTCTCAGATATTGAAAGCACCAGAAGGTAATTGGAATAGTCAGCATAGATTTACCAAAAGTAATTTGTGTGCTTGTCCAGCTTGGTTGCCTTTCCTGATGAAATGATTAGATTCCTGGATGAGAAGAGAGGAGTGGCTGCCCTATATCAAGCAGTGCTACAGCACAGGTGCTGCCTTG